AATGAAACAAACGGTCAAAGAGAAACAATCTTGGATGAAATATAGATCCCTTAAGTCTTGTATAGGTTAGCTTTCCTTGCACATTAAAGTATCTTAAAGCTTAGTAGCTTAAAACAACAAATATTAATTAACTTTCAGTTCTGTGGGTTAGCAATTCGGGCTAGAAATATCTGGGTGGTTCTCCTTTATGAGCTCATTCCTGCATTTCATGATCAGCTGCCAGTTCTTTCTAGGCAGCTCTATCTCTTGGATTGGTTGTCTAAAAGTTGGAGTAATGGGGGCAAGTGGGCCATGTGACTATGTTTATCTGATCAGTTATCTTGGACTTGTCCCCTAGCATCACAGCAAGATTCCAACAAGGAGAATTCAAGCATGCCAGATGGCTTGAAACCTACAATAAGTATTATCATACCAACGCTATTGTTGCATTCAACTGGCCAAAGCCAGTCACATGACAACCTGAGGTTCAAAGAATGAAATAGACTTCATATTTCGGTGGGAGGAGTTACTGAATCATATTGCAAAAAGACAAGGAAACTGGGAGGAGAATAATTTGTAACCATTGTTTGCTTTTACCACAGAATCATTCTGCATGTGTTAGTTATGTATAAAAATGCCATATAAACCCTTCCTTCATATTTTGTGCTTTCTTTTACATATAAAATGTGGATAATATTAGATTGGAAAATGTAGAAACCAAATTACTACTGTTAATTGGTTAAAAAACATCAGAGTGCTTTCTGAAACAACAAGCTTGTCTCTTGCTGCTTTTTATCGTTTTTTGCGTCTAAAACTATTGTAAAAATATCTCATTACCAGCTCTAGAGCCCTATTTGTAAATTTCTATTTTAAACAAAGTTAAAATAGAATAAAATGTTATCCAATGACGCTTGGAGCTGCAACTCACCTACTCCAGTACCCAGTTTTACTCGAGTGACCAACCACAAGAGTCATCTGCATGTATTTCCTAATGTGATTTCCCTGGATGGGAGCATATTGTCATACTGTCCTCCTCTTTTTCACCTAGCACTCTGTCTTGGAGAGATTTTCATATTAGCAAAAACAGTTTTACTTCATTTTAAGAAACCGTATAGTAGTCTCTCCAAAGTCTAGAAATATACCATAATTTACTTCTTTGTAGATGATTGTTTTTATTGCTCCCAGATTTTTGTTCTTACAGCCAGTGATGGGGAGTAAATTCCTTTTCGTATTTCATTGGATTCATTTATGAGAGAACATCTAGGAGAATTCTAGAAGGGGAATTTATGTTTTAAACATGACTTTTAAAAAATATGAAATATATTGCTAAATGAACTGCAATGAGGATGTGCCAAGCCTACCAATTTTAGATTCCTGTAAACAATGCATGATAGTAGGATTTATCCACATGCTCATAGATAGTACATATTGGAAATATTTGCATTTTATCACTGTTTAACTGTTGCCACTTTGAGAGGTGAGTCTGGTTACATGGCTATTTAATTTGCATATTTCTTAAATAAATGAGGTTATACACAATTCCATAAATATATAGAACATTTATATTTAATTTTATAAAATGCCCATTTATATTTTTCATTTATTTTAATATTGTGTTATCGATATTGCAAGAAAAAACCTTGCATAAATATTTTATATAATAAAGAAAATTAACTTTTTGTATATCACAAATATTGCCTCGGTTTTTTCATCTACTTAATTGAGAGATACAATACTCACCCAGGAAAATGCACTAATCTTAAGTATGAAGTTCAATCAGTTTTGACAAATATATGCACCAGTGTAATCATAACCCAAATAAAGATACTCTTTGCTTATTTTTGTCTATAATCCATTTCAAATTAATATTTTTATATAATAAAATATTTTATATGTAAATGTGCAATTGTTCCAACATCATCAGTTTAAAAGACTTTTTTTCCATCAAGTTTTCTAGAATATTTCTAGTAGTCCAGAAATTTCCTCCTGTCTTTTCTAGTCAGTCACATCACAGTTCTACAGAAGCAGCCACTATTCTGACATTAAGTATATATACGCTTTTGCATGTGGCTTCTAATATATATGTAACATTTTCAACTATAGCATTTCATTCTTCAGTAGCTTGTTGCTTTCTGTTTTGAAGTACTGTTTTATTATACAGTCTTTTTACAGTTTATCTGTTCACCTGTTGATGAACATATGAAATGTTCTAGATTTTGTACTATTATGAATTAAGTTGGTATAAACATTCTTATGTAAACATTTATTTCTCCTGAATACGTACCTAAAAGTGGAATAACTAAGATGTGGAGTGCTCATATTTTAAACTTTATTTGGAATTGTCAAACTAATTCTCCAAGTGAGTACACCACTTTGTACTTTCACTAGCAATGCACGGAAATTTCCAGGTTCTCTGCATGTCAACACTGATGTATTTCAGTCTCTACAATTTTGTTACTTTGACATGTGCCTAGAGTATATCTCCTTGTGACATTATTTTGCATTTCTTTGACAATTAATGATGTTGATCATTTCTCATGTGATTGGTGGCCTTTTTATCATCATTTGTGAAGTATCTGTCCAATTGTTTGGCGTCTTTTGGTTGGGTTCACTTCATGTTAGTATTGATTTGCAGAAATTCTTTGTTCAGGATATGAGTTATTTGTTATATTTATAAATATATTGCACATATTTCCAAAGTCTATAATTTGCCTTTCCATTTTTATAGTGGTGTGGCTTTTGATTAGCAGATGATTTTAGTTTTGGTAAAATCTTATTTGTGAATCTGGTTTTCTTGAGGTTAGTGCTTTTTTATGTCTTTCTAATAAATCTTTGCTTTTGTCTATGATCTATTTTAAATTAGTATTTGTGTATGATAATAGTCAAGTTTTTTTCTATGTAAGTATGCAATTATTCAATCATCATCTCTTGAAAAGATTTTTTCCCCCACTAAGTTGCCAGATAATCTGGGTTCCATCTCTGAGCTGTCTATTTTATTCCACATTAAACTTGTCTATCTTTACACCACAATCACAGTGTATAAATTACTGTCAATCTTTAGGAAGTCTTAAAATCATGTAGTCTAATTCTTGATTTACTCTTCACAATTATTTTACCATTCTAGATCTTTTACATTTCCGTATCAATTTAAAATCAGCTTATCATTTCTATAAGAAAGATTTCTAAGGTATTAGTTGGAATTGTGTTGAATCTATAGATTAATATAGGGAGGTTGGACATCTACAAATTTTGAGTCATTCAGTCCACTAACATAGTATATTTCTCAATTTACTTAGAACTTCTTTAATTTTCACAGCAATGTTTTAACCATTTTCAGCATGGAGATATTAATTCATTAATTTAATTTCTAGAATTTTTGAAATTATAAAAATGTAATTGTTTTAAATTATAAGTTGAAGAAATTCTGTTCCTAAGTTGCTAAGAGATTTATTTATTAAGCTTTAGTGTCGAATTCCATGACATGATTTTCAGTATCTGTTGAGATGATCACATTTTTCCTTTATTATATTAATTTAGCACATTGCTTTTCAAATGCCAAATCAACTCTACATTCCATGGATAATTCTCACTGGTTATGGTTTACATATTTCTGAATTCAATTTGCTAAATCCTTCTAAAGAATATTTATGTCTATTTATGTCTGGGTTAATGAAGTAGATTAGCATTTAAATTAATTTGATTTTTTTTCCTCATGCTTTGATATCAGGATTTTGCTGGTCTCATATAACTACAACAGTTATGGATATGAATCTTGAAAAGCCAAACTGGAAAAAAAAATATCCAATCTTGTAAGTTACATATAAAATAATGATTAATTTGAAAAATTTCTGTTTAGCTACTTAACCAACTTTTGTCTCCTAATTTTTATATTTGTATTTAAATACAGCACAAAGTTTTATATGATAAAGTAATTCATTTTTGAATTTTGACTTCTCATACAAGAAAAATATAAATTAGACATGGTAGAACAAATTTTTATTCTTATCTTTCAAAATTTTTATAAACTAGTACCTACTCCCTAACTTTTGTTCCTTGACCCTGATTAGAAAAATAAATGTCATTAAAAAATAGAAAAAACTGTTTCTTTAAAGAAACAATGAATAATATCATAAATCAACCTTTTTAAATAACTGTAAAATATTGAACAAGATAGGCAGCAATAAAAATACTGACTAACACTTGTCAATATAGTGCTGTCTGGAGCCAAATACAGATATTCTGTACTTTTTGTTTGTTTTTAGAGACAGGGGTCTCACTTTGCTACTATACCCAGCTAATTTTAGTGACAGGGTCTCACCATCTTGCCCAGGTTGGTCTTCAACTTCTGGGCTCAAGTGATCCTCCTGTCTCAGCTTCCTGAAGTGCTGGGATGACGGGTACAAGCTACCACACCCAGCCAATATTCTGTATTCTAAATATTGTTTTTTTGAAAGGCTCATCTAAGTGTCCATTAGTTATGGTGATGTGATTCCAGACCTCAGGTGACAACAAATTTTCTTTGGAGTTCAAATTCAACCATAGATTTCAAGGGTGGATTAAGAAACAAAGCCAAAAAACAGCACAAGAGTGTTCACAATATTAGAAACTACAACAAAAACCAAAATGAACTTCAAAAGAAAATTTTAGTCTGGCCTGATGGCAGTATTTAACATTGGATATAATGGGACAAAATTCCAAGGGATAGAAGATACAGCTTGAAATATTTGTACCCCATTATATTTTTATTCACATATAACAGCTACATGTTTGAGCATGCAATACTGGAGATCACAGCAATTATAACCACTGCTTATAAAAGATAATCGAGCCAATCTAGAAATAAATCCAAGTTTAAAATTTAAAAAAACAGGGGAAAAAATCAACATAAAAGGAAAGGTAATGGTCATTCAATCCACTAAACTTTAAAATCAAGATCAAACAACAACCAGTATATTAATTATAACATTTTTGGCAATGTAATCATGATAATCAAACACCAGGCCAGGTGCAGTGGTTCATACCTGTAATACCAGCAGTTTGGGAGGCTGAGGCGGGTGGATCACGAGGTCAGGAGGTCCGAGACCAGTCTTGCCAACAGGAACCCTGTCTCTAATAAAAATACAAAAAAAAAAAAAAAAAAAAAAATTAGCTGGGTGTGGTGGGGCATGCTTGTAATCCCAGGCTGAGGCAGGAGAATCAGTTGAACCTGGGAGGCACAGGTTGCAGTGAGCCAAGATTGGGCCACTGCACTCCTGTCTGGATGAAAGAGTGAGATTCCCTCTCCAAAAAAATAAAAAATTAGATGGGGCGTGGTGATGGGAGCCTGTAATTCCAGCTACTTGGGAACCTGAGGCAAGAGAATTGTTTGAACCCAGGATGCAGATGTTGCAGTTAGCGGAGATCATGCCACTGCACTCCAACCTGGGCAACAGCACAACTCTGTCTCAAAAATAAAATCAAATAAATAAAAAACACCAAATACATATTTATAATATATAAATATCAGATATCAGACGGGAGTTTGAAGAGAATATACTAGTTCCTTTATCATTCAGAAAAGGAAATCAATAGAGTCTGTCTAAATTTGAAAAATAAAATTTAAAAAAATACTCTAACACCTTAAAGTACTTCTAATTTTATTTCAAATTACATTTTTGGTAATTAATGTCAGGTGGTGAAGAAACATTTATCTGAGGTTCAATATTTCTTAATTTCAATGCAATTTTTGCACCCATTAGATGTAATTAAATTCTAAGTATGTCTAAATAAGGGTAGCATTACTGTGAGATACTGTCTTGTAAAAATATTTTTACTTATTTATCTTTTTTATTATTCATCATTATATATATGCATATGTACATATATATCTGAAATAATATACATGAATATCTACAAATATCTATATGCCTGAAATAATATATATGCCTGAAATATTATGACTTAAATGTTGACAATTACTTTTGGGTACTAAATAGAGATTAATTTTAAAAATATTTTCTATTTTTTGAATTATATGATTTTTTATATAATGATTGTATATTGTCTGTGTAACTCTTTATACATGAAATCATCCTTTTGAAAAATTAACCACAGAAATTAATGTAAATGATATTTGACTTAATAAATTAAGATGAAATCATATAAATTATACAAACTAGTCAAAGATATTTAAAAATGTGTATTCATAAAAAGGGCAAAGGACAAAAACAATTCACAGAAACTGAAATATTTCTGGCTAATACATTTTAAGTAAATAGTGCAAATTCACCAGTAATCAAAGAAATTCAAATTCAAATCAGCAGACCTGTATCTTTTAAAATGTGCTAGTAAAGGTATATTGAGATAGGCCTTTGTATATCACAATGATAGAAGTATATAAATTGATACAATTTTTCTGAAATCCAACTTAAAAACCTATGTCAATGAACATAATCTTTTGCAACTTTGGGAACTTGAGCCTGTAAAAATAATAAAAAACATAACAAAATATTTATGAAATGAATGTATATGATACTATTCTTTCTAGAAGTAACTCCTGATTAATAATCTCTCTCAAAATTGCACAACTATGTGGAAACTGAACAACCTGCTCCTGAATGACTACTGGGTAAATAATGAAATTAAGTCAGAAATAAAGAAGTAATTTGAAACCAATGAGAATAAAGACACAACATAACAGAATCTTTGGACACAGCTAAAACAGTATTTAGAGGAAAATTTATAGCACTAAATGCTCACATAAGAAAGCAGGAAAGATCTAAAATTGACACCCTAGCATCACAATTAAAAGAACTAGAGAAGCAAGACCAAACAAATTGAAAAGCTAGCAGAAAACAAGAAATAACTAAGATCAGAGCAGAACTGAAGGAGATAGAGACACGAAAGATCCTTCAAAAAATCAGTAAATCCAAGAGCTGTTTTCTTTTTTAAAGATTAACAAAATAGATAGACCACTAACCAGGCTGACAAAGAAGAAAAGAGAGAAGAATCAAATAGACACAACAAAAAATGATAAAGGGGATATCACCACTGATCTCACGGAAATAGAAACTACCATCAGAGAATACTATAATCACCTCTAAGCAAATAAAGTAGAAAATCTAGAAGAAATGGATACATTCCTAGACAAATACACTTTCCCAAGACTAAACCAGGAAGAAGTTGAATCCCTGAATAGACTAATAACAAGTTCTGAAATTGAGGCTATAAATAATAGCCTACCAACTAAAACAAGTTCAGGATCAGATGTATTCACAGCTGAATTCTACCAGAGGTACAAAGAGAAGCTGGTACCATTCCTTCTGAAACTATTCTAAACAATAGAAAAAGAAGGATTCCTCCCTATTATGAGGCTAGCATCATCCTGATACCCAAACCTGGCAGAGGCATAACAAAAAAAAAGAAAATTTCAGTCTAATATCCCTGATTAACATCCATGTGAAAATCCTCAATAAAATACTGGCAAACCGAAACCAGCAGCATGTCAAAAAGTTTATCCACCACGATCAAGTCGGCTTCATCCCTGGGATGCTAGGCTGGTTCAACATATGCAAATCAATAAACATAATCCAACACATAAACATAACCAATGACAAAAACCACATGATTATCTCAATAGATGCAGAAAAGACCTCTGATAAGATTCAACATGACTTAATGCTAAAAACACTCAATTAACTAGCTATTGACGGAACATGTTTGAAAATAATAAGAGCTATTTATTATAAACCCACAGCCAATATCATACTGAATGGGCAAAAGCTGGAAGCATTCCCTTTGAAAACCAGCACACACCAAGGATGCACTGTCTCACCACTCATATTCAACTGGAAGTTATGGCCAGGGCAATCAGGCAAAACAAAGAGATAAAGAAATAGGAAGAGAGGAAGTCAAATTGTCTCTTTCTGTAGATGACATAATTGTATATTTGGAAAATCCCATCACCTCAGCCCAACCCCTTAAGTTGATAAGCAACTTCAGCAAAGTCTCAGGATACAAAGTCAATGTGCAAAAATCACAAGCATTCCTATACACCAATAATAGACAAACAGAGCCAAATTATGAGTGAACTCCCATTCACAATTTCTACAGAGATAATAAAATACCTAGGAATACAACTTACAAGTGATGTGAAAAGCCTCTTCAAGAACTACAAACCACTGCTCAAGGAAATAAGAGATGACACATACAAATGGAAAAACATTCCATGCCCACGGATATGAAGAATCAACACTGTGAAAATGGCCGTAATGCCCAAAGTAATTTATAGATTAAATGCTATCCCCATTGAGATCTATTTTTTTTGAGAGTCTGGGACCTCCCTTTCTCCTTCTCTCTTGCTCCCATTCTCATATGATACACCAGCTTCCCCCTTTGCTTTCTGCCATGATTATAAGCTTCCTGAGGCCCTCACCAGAAGTCCAGCAGACGTTGGTGCTGTGCTTTTACAGCCTGCAGAACAGTGAGGCAATTAAACGTCTTCTTTTTTAATTACCCAACCTCAAGTATTTCTTCATAGCATTGCAAAAAAAAAAAAAAAAAAAAATGGCCTAACACACTATTCATGAAAAATCAGGTACTATGATATGGCAGCATAAAACTGACTTAAGACTACTGATAATTTTGAGCATCTTTCATGTTCTTATAGAGCACAGTACAATGGATCATCATATCCTGATATATTCATGAGTGAAATACTAAACAGCAATATGAAAGAAGAGACAGCACATAAAGGGAAGAGTATAGATAGTGCTCATAGACACAGTGTTTAGGAAAACAAGCCAGATGTAAAACCATACATATGAATCAAAAGAAAAAGCAAATAAATATATAGTGACAGCAGTCAGAATAATGGGTATCTTGTGGAGGTATTGAGTGTGAGGCAATATGAGGAAAGCTTTCAGGCTGTTGGCAAGTCCTTCATCTTGATCTGAGTGATGATTGCAGGAAGGTAAGCATAAGCAAAATTTCATCAGATGGTGCTCCTAAGATTTGTGCATCCTATTGCATTCACATTATACCTCAACACAATTTTTAAAAATTTTAAAGATATAATATGAGGCATCGAGACCATCCTGGTCGGCATGGTGAAACCCCGTCTCTACTAAAAATGCAAAAAAAAATTAGCTGGGCACGGTGGCGTGTGCCTGTAATCCCAGCTGCTCAGGAGGCTGAGGCAGGAGAATTGCCTGAACCCAGGAGGTGGAGGTTGCGGTGAGCTGAGGTCACACCATTGCACTCCAGCCTGGGTAACAAGAGCGAAACTCCGTCTCAAAAAAAAAAAAAAAAGATAAAATATGAGGCAATAAAAGATTCCTCTAGGTCAAACAACCCAGGAGTGATAGGAATAAAAATTTAATGATGTAGAAGATAAGTAATTTTAAGGAAATAAAGATTGCTTGGACTAGAGCCTGATACAGACTTTTCTAAGCTGCTTTATCTATCATTTTTTAGCCAATTTAGTTGGAATTTAAATTATCTTTATATTATAGCAGTTATGATAGCTAAATTACTTCCATGATTTGAAATATCCAGATATATTTAAGGGCAGGAAGAAAACAATTTCTATAATAAAAAAAAAAAGAACGCTTTCTGCCTTGAGCTCAAAAATAAGAAGGTATTTAGTGGAGTTTTCCTTTAACTTTAACGTGCCCTGCATGGGGGAACCCTCTTTTCATACAATTTAATAAGGCAGGAAGAGTTTTCATGAAAGGCAAACCAGTGTGCTGTATACAGGGTTCAGAAGAAAGAATAAAGAGTAAAGGGATTGGTTTATGCCATAAAAGACCCAGAAGGATTTATCCTATGAGAGCCGGTCTAGAAAAAGAAAACATGATGGTGAAGAAATATATTTAGATACAGCACAAAAGGAGCAATTAGTACTTATCATTATGGACAGTAATCTGTAAAGCATCCACTGCCTCTTATATATGACTGTATAAAGAAGGTAAAAAATAAAGTAGGTCAGATGATTTGCAGAGATTCGGAAGGTATCTATCCCGTTCCATGTTCCATAGGGCAATTTATTTACACCTCATGTCTTAGAACAGATTCTCTAGAAGCACAATCTAAAACAGGAATTCCTGTGCAAGGGATTTCCTGAGAGACTG